CTGGACCTCCATTTTAAGTCCTTATCCGAGAAGACTTGGTTCTACCAACCGAACCATTGGAAAGGAGCGGCTGGACCAGCGCCGATGTTAAGGCTGTAGCTGGCAGCGCCCCTGTCTTACCGCTTGGCCACTCGTACCCGAACATTAAATATTTTGTTATGGTGGCCACATGTGAGGTCTCACCACACACTCTAACACTGAGATGCATCATCACATCTCTGGATCTCATCATTCAGCATCAAAATTTTAGCTTACTGTGATTACTGCTATTACTTTATGTATTAAAATTCTGTAGGTAAAACAAAAATATGTTTTTGTGATTAGACTTTTACAGACAACTTCTTCGTCAACGTCGTCTATTCATGCACATATGCAGGATTTGAAGTCGCCAGTGATACTGTAGTTATTACGTGCTTTGAAGTTGCCGTAGTTGTTGTCTTGCTTCTACGCTTGCAACAAAACACATCCAAAAACGCTCTCCTAAACACTTCGTTTATAGCATTATATATAATCGGATTTACCGACGAATTCGTATAAGCAGCAACACGCAATATATTCACAAGACTGACTATGACGTTAATGTTTAGATCAGTGTAGTAGATTACAAGATTAAGGATTCCGAATGGTGCCATGAAAGTGACATAGACTACCACTGTCAGAAAGACAGTTATGAACACTTTTCTCTCCGATTTGGATCGGGATTTGTTACCCGTAGAATTTTTCGCTGTGAAATGTGACCTTTTAAGTGTGATAAGTATTGCTGTATACAAAGCAACTACGACAACAATAAGTGATAATGATAGGAAAATATCTGCTACAAATAGATGATTTGAAATTTCGCAGTTTTCTGCACAGTAAACACACGCTGTGGTAGAATTCGGGATTCCGTTGTACATATCAGGCCATGGTAACTGGGAGGACACTAAATTTATCCAGACAAACTTTCTCGCCTGCCATGACAGTGATACCAACCACATGATGCAACAGATGGTTATAGATCTTGAAGGCTGTCCAAATTTATTGCTACGAAATTTCAAAGGATGGCAAATTGCCATAAAACGTTCCACTGACATCCAGAATATTGTAAAAATTGCCACTTGCACGGCAGTGTCTACAATGTAGATATTTAATCTACAAAACCAAAGCATGTCAGCTCCAATGTCAAACACATCGTGCACTGAAGTTCTAACATAAGAAATCCATATCAAATCAGGTGCCAACATTAGGAACAGCGTATCAGCTATTGCCAAGTTGGCAAGGTACACGTTAACGGCTGTGCGAAGCCTCCGATGATTCGCAATAACAACAATTGTGATTATATTACCAATTATGCCTACGATGACTACAATTGGCATGAAGATAGAAATGATAATTCGGTCCGTAGAAGTATAAGAGTGTAACTGTATGACGTCATCCCAGTTAGGCTTCTCCGTCGTAAAGTTTTCACTTGATGTTTCATCAATCACTGAGGTATTGCCGTAAGAGGTACTGTTCATCTTGCCTAAGAAAAAAAATTATGATATGAATTTTAGTTTGATGTTACATCACATAGGCCTACACAACGATACAAATTTATGTTTCAGAGAACCTTTAAAGTTTTTATTTGTATATTAACAAAAATAAATATGAACTGGAATACATTAGTGGAGTTCTGAGCAAAAGGTGTTCGACATGAGCAAAAGATCTTATATTTTAGTATAATTATTGTTTGTCTGTGGTTAGGCGTATATCACTTTAAATACACGATATATTGAACTTGTAACTTTGGCAATAAAAGTGAAAAACTGCAAAGAATATTTTAGGCCCGTTATTCCAGCCTAAAAAGGAGTGACGCCAGGGGTGGGGGTGAGGCGCCGGGGCTGGGGGTGTGGCGCCAGGGCGCGAACTTTTTTTCTGGACGTTGGCGGCAGTGACGATTGGTGGCGCTATAGATTCAACGTAACGCCCCCTTGATCTCATGAATATTTATAGTCTTACTTTAGCAGACCTCTTATAAGGGTTGACCTCTT